GGGGGGGAGGGGGGATACAAATAAGAATAATTGTGATGATATAGAATGATTTATTATTTGTCACTAGCTGGAAGGGAACTTTGAAAAAAATCAGAGTCCCTAATAGGAATTTAACCCATGACCTTTTGGATACTGTTCAGATGCTCTACCACACTGAGCTAACAGGAAATAATTACGAATAATGGTCATTTACTGGGTTAAAAATTATGCTACTAGTCAAACCAAAGAATAATTCTATCAAAATATGTTTATGGAGTTATCAGAATTCTCTTACAGTGTGACTACATTAATCAAGGCCACCCAAACAAATTTTGAATCAAATTCACAAATCACATTTATGACGCTGAATAATCGATGACTTGATGATTCTAGATTCTCTGGATCACACACACGCTCATATAAAGTAAAATATATGCTTTTAAAAGGAAAGATATGAAAATTTGTACAGATTCTATTTTTTGAATACTCAATCGTGATTGGCTAAATTGTATGAAAACTTGTCTGGGTGGCCTTGGTTGGTATGTCGCACTGTAGTACTGAAGAAAGAGAAATAATAATATCATATAGTCTAAACAGTAGAGTTGTTGAAAAATCATTTGAAGTAGAAATAGAAAGTTAGCATCTTTTTAATGGGCTAACTTGGATGCCCACCAGAATAAAATGCACAGTATTGAATGTCATTTTGTAGTTTTGCTTGTAAACACATGTATTTATTTATATCACTGCATTACATTAATATTCCAGGTCAATTTCTTAACGTGAACAATAACATTAATAAACAACAAAATAAATTATTACGTAACTTCACAAGTACAAGTACGAGATTATTAAAGTATATATCAATACATATATATATTACCAGTTAATATYAAACTCGATCTTATTAATTAGAAACTGACCGAATAAAAGGCATTGATTGATGTACAAATAGATCGCAGCGTATGGTATTCATATGTCGTGTCTTCTTCAAGCAAATCCAACATCACTCTAATGTAATACTGATAATTTATTTTGCCAATTTTTTTACAGCTGTCAAACACTCGCGTTGTGATCGCACAAATTTATAGGGTAATACATACCCTATAAAAATGGTAAGAGGTAAGAGAGAACACTTCTTTTCTTTTTCACTTATTTTTAGTGATTTTCGAGCTAAATGTTACAATTTATTGGGTTAATCTATCCATTTGTTCGCAGCACACTGCTAACTAAAGCTGTAATATTTGAGGTCTATTTTTAATAGCCCTTTTTATGATTCTAATATCACATTCGTTGTTTGAATTTACAACGTTATTTTCCATCAACAAAAGGACTGGTATCCTTCAGGGGTGTTGAGAGAATATTTAACTCACCGCTCGGTCCCATAATGGCCAAAATTTGTCCTGGTTTGACCTTGCCGCTAACTCCTTGTAATATTTGTCGATCTGCGATCGAAATGTTGATGTCTCTAAAATTGAGAGATATGGGGACATTGTCTTGTAGAGRAATATCTGAAGTCATGATTGCGCTTATGTCGTCGCTTTGCTTGAAGGAAAATCAATGATTTTTAAGCTTACGAGAGYGTATTAAAATAGGCAACAATTTGTGGTGCAACAAATAGGTCCCAGTCTCCTCTCCACAAAGTGAACGTCAACATGCACTTTTTCTATTTAGAGTARTTTTAACACATTTTCACTTGATAAAAATAAACGAGCTGAGGAAGAAGCATTAAACTCAGCGAAAGTAGATAAATATCGATGGAGAATAGTTTAGGTTCTMGATTTTTTTAATGTTTTGAATTTTWAAAAAACGTAAAGAAGAGGGRCCTGGTTCTCGGTTCTTGCAGTAAATCTCATGATGATGGTGAAATCCACTTCGAAACATGATAGTAAACATGATATAGAATCCAATGTTTCCRGTCGTTGAGATGTCACTGCTTTTAAGTACTCCAAGTTATTTAGGGTTGGTGTGAGGTCTGCCACAGGGAGCCCAATATGCTAATTTGTCCAACGATATTCAAAGAAGAAAGAGACGAAGAGAAAGAGAAAAAGAAAGGATAAGAGAAGAGACAAGGGAAAGAAAAATATAAAATAAAAAATAAAAAAGGAATAAAAAAGATAAGAGAGAAACGAAAAACAAAAGAAAGAACGCTCATGAAAACTCGCACCTTTAAGATATCCCAAAGGACTTTTTCCTATATTTCTAAAAACTTGATTAAACTAGGACCATACCTCCAGACCCTGTGCTGAAGCGCAGTATGGCAGCGCAAAGCATTTACGGCTATGCCGGAGATTTCGACCCCGACACCGCTATCCAGTGACTGATCAGGAAGCTCGGACGAAGCCTAAGGGAGAGKATAGTCGGCTCCTAGACCGTAKATGATTAACCCCTTTTTGTTTTAGCTTCGCACCAGTGTCCCAAGATGTGCAAAAGGGACAGCATGGTGGTCTTTAGCAAGGGGGGGTCCTACATGGACGCCAGAGACACGCCGGGGTAATGAGCCCCGCCCCCCATGTAGACCTACACACTACAGATTACTACAATAAACACTAATACAAAAAGATAATCAAAACATCATTTACATATAGAGTATCATCCTGGTCTACCTAGGAT